ATGATTGTACTCTCTGAAAATTCATTTGCTGACTTACTAAGAATTTTATTTTATTTTTTTATAAATGATTCATTTTTCAAAATCGAAAAACATTTTTTAATAATCTTTAAGTCATAAATATATTGAAATTAAAAATATTTTCCTAGTGATGAAAATTATTTAAGCAGTGTTTGTTTTAAAAATGCAAATAAAATTTTTCTATTCAAACTAAATATTAAAAAATGTATTCCTTAAACTTAGAAAATACTTTTAATTCAAAATATGCCTAGTCACAAAACTTTAAATGTACTCTAGGGATATTTTTACATTTTTAATGAATGTACAAATTTTATTAGTTATGTAATATTTTCTTGTTCTATCTTTGTCTCTCTCTCTCTCTCTCTATCTATCTCTATCTCTGTTTTTTTTTTAAATATACTTCGCTTATTTTTCTTAACAATATTCTGGAATTACAACTTGTAACATGCTCAGAATATAAAATAATATATACACAATGTGTTCAATATTTTGTCAGATGTAACAACAGAGCTACTACCCGGTAGTGTGATAAACATTTGGTACAGATTTTATGCATGTATAAAACCTTTTTCTATACTACTATTTTATTCTCTATCTTTTGAAATATTATTATATTTACTATCTGGTAAGCAGGATTTCTGTAAACTTAAGTTTACATCAATTTCAGTAAGATGTTGTCGACGTCTTTTAATACGCCTACTAACGAACGGAAAAAATAAATCTGGATCCAGTTCATCCGCATCTTTTTTATTGAAAATACGACTTAGATGACTCACTGCGTATCCTATCACCATAGTAATAATAAATCCAATTGCACTGTACCACATGTAAGATATTTTAAACAGATAAAAATAAGAATCCGCCCTAAAACAAGTAATTTTTTAGTATTAAAAATTTTAAGTAAGTATTAGCTTTAAAAAGTAACATTTCATACTTTTCACTTTGAAGTATTTTTCCGACAAAATCTGATGTCTTATTGCTACAGCCATCTGCACTTATAGATAGGGCAGGTGGTACCGGCCTTGGTTGACCAAAAGCTATCCACATGCAAAATGCAAATGAGGTCAAAGTTCCCATTACAGCACCAATTTGATTCGTAGATTCAGTGAGCATCCCTAAAGTAAAGATACCAAGCAAAGGACCTCCAACCACTCCAAAAATAGTTAAGCTAGCCTGCAATAAAATGTAATTTACATACAATGATGTGTAAAAAGTGTTGGCCGGAATAAAATATTACCTGCAGAACACCCCCGAGCAGTTGGGCAGCAAAAGCAAGGGCAATGCACAAAATTCCAAATACCAGCACCAGTATTTTACTACAAATAATTGATTGTTTTTCGGAAAATTCATGACCAGAGCTCCAAGTATAGATTGGTTTAATGTAATCTTCTAAAGTGACAGCTGCCAAAGAATTCAATCCAGCGGAAATTGTGCTTAAACCAGCACTGAAAATTCCTACACATAATACATTTTGTAATTTGTTAAGGTACTGTTGATACGTTAATGTTATACGTTAATAAATTATGATTATCAAAGTCAAACTACCAGCCACAAATAAACCTGGTACCCCTGGTATACTTGACAACGTATCCATAACATATAATGGCATTAACATATCCATCGATCCAATTCTTTTTGTAACTTTTGGATCACACTCATAATAATGGCTGTATAAAGCAAGACCAGAAAAACATGTCAGGATAGATAGACAAGATAACATGAACACATTAACCCAATAGGCAACTCTGGCTGATTTTATATTTCTAGAAAAAAATTTTCATTGATATTATGGAATGTCATTGTCTGATTCAATTATGCATGGTTAATTTACTTTAGAGTCATCATTCGTTGAACTTGAACTTGATTAACACCAAACAAGGATAAGTAAGTACACATTCCGCCGATAATAAGGCCCCACCACGTATGACGAACGGTTGGATCGGATGATGTACTACAAAAATTATTTTTTAATCATCAAAAAATATTAATATGAATAATTATTTTTTTATGACGAACAAATTTCAAATGAAACGTCTATTCTTACTTATCAAATTGAATCCTCTTGCCTTCTGATGCTATTCGCCAGATTTCACCCACTCCACCTACTCTGTGGGCCGCCGTAAATATAACAATAAAAAGTGAGATGAACATTAAGCCTCCTTGAAAGACATCGGTTATCAGCACAGCCTTGATTCCTCCTATGGTGGAATAAAAAGCACATACTAAACCAATAGCAACTATACTCGTAACTATATTCATTCCTGTAGTGGCTTCAAGTGCCAATGCCGGTGCATATAAAACTACTCCAGAGTACAAAAGTAATTGCACCCAATAAGCAAAACTAGCAGTTATACGAGCTCCGTAACCAAAACGTTTATCTAAATACTAAAAGCAAAATTTAACTATTGTTCTTAACTTATCTATTAAAGAATAAATTTTAAATGAATCCATCAATACCTCGTAAGCGCTTATGGCTCCAAGATTAAAAAATACCGGCACGTAACCGTAGCATATGATAGGAGTAGCAATCCAGTATGCAACGTTTATCCCGACGAACTGTGTACCATAGCTATAATTTTCTGCAGAAAGACCAAGTAATGTAATTGCTGACATAAATGAAACCATCAGAGCAATACCAACAGGTATGATGCTCATTGATTTGTCTGCTGAAAAGTACTCCTGAAAGTATGCTTTTAGTTATAATATTTATAAAAAAGTTCTAAATTATGAAAAATACTAAATTATTTATGAATAAAAATGTTCACATGCCTGTGTGGTTTTTTGTCTACCTCCGGAAAATCGGTAGAACAAACCTATGCCAACACTCACGCACATTGCCCCTGTGATAACTGCATAGTCGATCCAGCCCAGATGAGCCGTTTTTTGATCCATTACTTATACTTCTGTAAAAACATTAAAAAAATAACTTTACGAAATCAATATACAACCAAATAACATTAAGAATAATTATTTACGTAACAATTTGTTTTTTTTATATTAGTTTTTAGAATAAACTCTTTTTATTTGCATTAAAAATAGTTTTTTTTCATAATTTTTTTCAAGTACGCTGGAGTTATACTTATATTATCATCGTTAGTTTTACAATACGAAGCAATATAGTTGTTTTTTCAAAAAATTTAATTTTACTAACAATTATCACACAATAGAAACGTCAAAGTTTTATTAGTGAGTGCTATCATCTTTACTACGAATGTAATGAAATTTTTACTGTAGTTATACATACAGATATACATTTCAGTAGTTTCGAAAGCGCTCTATAAGCCATTTTATGAACATATTATATAAATTTTGCATGCCATGAATGAATTTTAGAATCAATATGATAGAAAAAAAGCCCTATCTTTAATTTTATATTTATTATTTATTACATTGTAATTATATACCCTCGTCGAGCAATTATGCTGTGTCGAATTAAAAAAAATATTCGTAATTATAAAGTTCAAAATAAAGATACATTGGTTATTCGCCACTACAATAATGGCCATGCACTGGTCTTACGGTTAAAAAAATTAATTGTATTATCATACTACATCACGTGATCGAAATAATACATATTTGACAATTTTTTTTCTCTTCAAAATATGGTCATTCATGACAAGAAAATACTATACAAGAAATTTACAGTAAGTTACGACGTTTGAAATGCGAATTTCTAAGCTTTATGACATAGATAAAATCACAATAATAAGATTTTGATATGTTTTACTTACCTTGGATATCTGAGATTCTCGCTGTGAAATATAAATAAGCCGCGTCAGAGCTTATTATTTTTTCAAAAAGATACTGTCAGTCGCTTAAGAGAAAACTTACAGTGAATGTCTACTTATCTCCACAACCAAACTGTAAAGATTCGCGTCGTGTGCGGTATAAATACTTGGTGAACAATAGTCTATTGGAGGGATAGCCTAGCGTGATCGTTTAACGCCCCACTACGAAAACGTCCCCCAATCAACTACTGGCGTTTTTAGAAATGAGATAGAATAAGTGACAATAGGAAATAAATATTTTACAATTTTTTGAATTAATGAGAATCAAATTTTCAGGCTCTATAATTAAATTTTGCATTTTTATTTGATTTTGAAACCAATACTATAAACTTTGTTCTTGTAACTTCAAGAAAGGCAATATATACTAAGAAAAAAATTTTTTTTTA